CTGGAGTGAATGACTTTTCATTGTAGTCGTTGGGTATTGTTCGAATAGAAAAATGATAAAGTCGCTATTAGCAATATGTATCGACCTTTCATATTCATAGATTAGCTTTAGACAGTATTAAGTTTCAATTTCAATACTCATCTTCTTCTTTTTATGCAGAAACTAATACCATTAGGGTTGTATCAAAACCAAATCGAAGATTCGGGAACGCAGTATTTAGCCGATGCATTGAAAACAAATCAAGTGAGATATTTCTGCAACTCTTACTTCCATGTCATTACTAGTTGAGTTTTGTATATTTGGCAGATAAATTATTTAGTGTCAATGATGAATATCATCAGTTTTAAGCCTGATTAAGACTAAAGATAGACACCTTTCATCAAATGTTCGTCTCTGATATATTAGCAAAAATCACTTTGGCTGTCACTGTCACGACTTTGCCATTCAAATTCAGATACTTGAATATAATCTTTGCATATGCCAGAGTTTGTTAGGCTAGTTTTATAAGAGAATCATCACCAGAGAGCCAAGAATGGTATATTTTTGAGCATACTCCACATTTACTTCTCTCTCAGATGTTCCTGAGGATGAGTTAAGTGTGTTGCAGATCAAACTATACTAGATTAAATGTAAGCATAGTATTCACTGTCCATTCTGGTTCTCAATTATAGTCACTCAAGGAATTGCACCTATACAATAATCAAATTGGAGACAATGGAGCACAGCGTCTAGCTGAAGCACTAACTATTAATAAAGTAAGTGATCTTCTTTTATAATGCCCAGATTACAATTTTTCTTTCTGTGGCGTACTCTCACCATAACATCGTCATAACCAATTCGAATTTGAGATTCCAAGACTGGAATGATATCTCAAAAGAAGAAAAGCTCATATGTAACTATTATTCCTGAGGAATTCATAGGAGCGTGAAGAATTTAATAAGGATACGACTGAGGAGACGCGTTTTGCCCTTTTCATTAGAAATCATAGCAAGCTTTTCTTTGTATAGTACTTGACTTCTGCAAGACATAGGCCTCTTTTCTCGTTGAAGGTGTTAACTGCTACTCGGTTGAGAACATGATTACAGTATGAACACACATTGCAATGTGTAGATTTGACATAAATATGATTTATAGCGTGTTTCTTAATCTATTCATGCTATTCGAAATGGAGTAGATCTGGTCAAATTTTGTCATGGAATTGATGCAATCCACGTAAAATAAAAACACATCCTTTGTGAACACATCGATCAACTTCCTACGGGTACTCAAATTTTAACGCTTCTCCATTCTTTAGTGCCAACACTAATTAATAGAGGAAGTAGTGGTATGTTTCGCAGCGCTGTATCTTTACAGAGTTGAATAAATAAAAACCACCAGAGAGACAGAACATGGTATTTCAGCTACACATGTATGGGAATAAAAGCAGTGATAATGTAGCGCAATATCTAGCTAAATTCCTTAATACCAGAAGGTATGGCTATTTCGAGTGTTTCACGCGCTATGGTGGAGAATAAAACATTTTCGGCAATTATATTCCGTAACTATTGTTTCTGTTCAATTGACTCACGAATGTAGTTTCGATTGAGATAGATTGGCTTCGTCATTTCTCACAATGAAAACAATCTAGGATCAAGAAAAAGCTCAGATGAAGTGATCCTACTCGTGTTTTGGTCTGACAGCACATGAGAAATTTATTGTGAATACATTATTTCTTCAGGGATCCAATATGTAGTGAAATAGTAGGTTTTCAAGCAGTTACTTCGATCATTTACTCATAGAATAATCGAATAAATCTTTCGAGGCAGATTATCGGTGCCTTTTCTCATACACTATGAGATACTTCCCTCTAAGTAATAGAAATTCGAATAATGTTCATACGATAAAAACATGGAAATATACTTTCATAGTAATATTATGAATGCTGTTGTGGATATCATTACATATCATCTTCGTTTCGTTTCGAGTAGTATTTAGCAATATCTATAATCATTCAAAGTGCCATAGGCGTTTATTAAGTAATAAAACTCAGTAGAAACAAGACTAAAGTCTCGCGAGTTTGTTATCTACGAGGACATAGTTAATCAATGCAATTTATTGTTTTATGCCACTTGAAAATATTGTTTTGTAGAAGATATATAATGTGAAACTCAGATAAACTTTATATCCCTGAATTTCGTCTATCGATAGTTGAGAGCATCGTAGTTCGCAGATGGAGTCGTTGAATATCATAAATATGTATCTGTCTAAGTAGCTTTCCCTCTTCAAAATAGGTACTCACACAGATACATTTGTATGGAAACCAAATCGGAGACAATGGGGCACAACAGTTGGCCGATTCGCTTAAGCAGAACAAAGTAAGTGACTTCTTCAACTTTACAACTAGTTATCAAATTTTTTTGAGTGTGATAAGTTAACCATATCGTAAACAATCAAAGCGCTCTTCTTCTTTTGTTGACATCTATCAGTTCTTTTCAAAAAGAGCGATATGAACCTGTATTATCGATATCTGAATTGAAGGGTCGAAGCCTGAGGACGCATCCCGCTTCGATAATCTCGCGGATTTCTTCTCTATTAAGATCTTCTGTGGTACTTTTAAAATCTATTGCTATATTGTTGAGTATCATAGTTTTTCTAAGGAATGGATAATTTCAAAAGTGTCCTCCACCATTTTTCTGCAGTATTTATGTATGTCCATAGAACATAATAAGTTATCATTGAATGATTTAGTTCAATACTAAGGTTAAACTCAAGTGAATGTTTAGGTCATTTATGCGCTTAATTCTACGAGTCATACGACTATTGCTTGATCGCAAAAGATTAGTTCATTCGTGCTTTATTCGACTGAGGGCACTCGAATGAAAGTCTATAGGTGTAGAGCTGATCTTTCAAGCTTTGAACTCGTTTTTTTCTTAATTCATCTGCAAGTAACATATTGTATTATTCTTGAAGCCTCTAACATTGTACAGTAGTTTGAAATTTGAGCCCGATACACGCATACGAGGACTTTAAAGAGAAAAATATCAGTATCTAATACCTGCTAATCTTTTTCTGTACAGAGTCTCACTTGGTTGAATTTGCAAAATAATCAAATTACGGATAGCGCAGCACACCTTTTAGGAGAAGCACTAAAACAAAATAAAGTGAATAATTATCTCAAAGTGCATTCTTTTAGCATGATTAACCCTATTCCTTTACTCTAGACGCTGCAGGTTATATATATTGGTGGCAATAAGGTCTCTGCTCCTGTACACACACGTTTGAATCAACAAGACAATCGAATCCGTTAATTTTCCTGTTTATTATATTTTGAAATAAAGCTAAAGTTTAGTTGATTGATATAAACTATCACATCTGTAACATAACTTTGAATATACTCGGTTCGGACATTAAGAATGGATCGATATGCGTAAAGACTCATCGATACTAGAGAAACACTAGCAATATGAATAGATTGATCGTCGCAGGGTCCACTGATGACTTCTTCATGCCATGATCACACAATTCAGATTAAATACTTCTACTATCTTTCATAAAAAAATATGATCTAATGGAAAAGGAATTCACGTACATAATCTTTATTAGTGTAAGTCTTGGTCAGTTGAGTCGCTGAATAATCATAAGCTATGAATTTCTTAATTTGAAAAACATTGCTGCCTTATAATCATGCCGTTCTGTTATCAACGAAGTTGCAATTAGATCACCTACCCAAAAAAGACGAAAATAATACGCGAATCGTAGAGATTAATCAGAAATAATTTTTTCAAATGTTTTCTTGTGAACATGCATGCAGTGTTATGGTGATAATAATCAAATTGGTGCGAAAGGGACACAGCGTCTCGCAGAAGTAATGAGGCACAAAAAATTAACTTCTTTGATTTGCTGTATATTCTTGTTATTTGTTCAGTTTCACTTTTCTTTTTGACAGACACTGACGAACTTGTACCTTCCAAAAAGCATCTCCGCTGCTACACAAGCACGGTTGAAGCAGCAAGATGGTCGAATTTCATTTCATTAACTTCTGTAGTTTTTTTCAGATGTGAATAAAATAAAATTCGTTCGATTGTTTCGTGTTGATCATATAAATCAGTTTCTCACATCGGTCTTAAATCATTTAGTAAATATGTTGCAAACAACCATTCAAGACGGGCATAGCACTCAGTATCCACTTTCTCATAGGCACAATCGAAAATCTATGATTGCCTTCGTTCTGTTTGAATTTCGACTACTTCATAAACTAAATAACATCGAATTCTCGGACAAATTTTCAGTCCTCGAAGAAAGGAAACTTATTGGCAAGGTACTCTGTATTATTCTTGTTGATACTGATCAGAAAAAACTTCTTGGCGCTTGGATATTTAAGCGATTTCGCACTTTTATTCCATCATCCCATAAAAGCGATGTTTATTTCATAGATGGCTTTATATACTTTTATGATTGCAACAATATTAATTGCTAGTAATTGATTGAACTCTTGAAAAATCCTTAGTCTTTCAAACTATAGAGAGTGTGGTGGTTGTGTTTAAATCTAGCAGCTATTATCGTAATTTTGTCTCCACCAAAACGACTCACCAAACAGTTTTAATGATCCTAAAATGATCAGTAGAACAATAGTTTGCAGAATTGTTGATTCTTGAGGGTGTGGAAGTTTTTGATACTTCATCGGTTTGTCATATTGATATGTTAACTGTTTTTTTTTTGCTCTTCTCTTTACCGAAGACATTTATCATCGGTTCTGTAAAGAATAACACACGAGTCCAGTTTTTTCTTTCATCTGTAACATTCATTCTCAGAGAATTTTGTATAGAATTGAATGTCACGCAAACAAAACAAAAAATACATCAAGAGATTCAATTGTTCATTATTGCATTGAAACCTTAACCCATTTAACGTTAGGCTTGACAAAGGAATATAAGTCAGAAGACATATATTATGCTGCTTATGAAGTGTCATCGATGTGCTGAACACAATCGCCATTTTTACTTAACAACTCTGTTTCCATATCATTTAGAACTACTAACAGACAAATTTAGTTCATGATATCTGTTTCGATGAAGATGATTGAAGAAAAATTTCTTACAATTTTTAGTGAATTCAGCAATAGATCAACAAAACAATATTCTTCTTTTATTGTAAACATTGAACTCATGTCATTATTGAAAAGTGAGATTTTTTTATTACTTGTTTAAAGATATCATTCAAAGAAAAATGGTAGCAGATTCGAAATGCTTTTGGTTTACATTGAATAGTATTTTCTTGCAAAATTTATTGGCATATCGGAAAAGTCTTAACTTTATTTTTAAAGAGTATTCTCTACAGATCTTAATGTCAATTAATTTGCGTCTACTTTGGTACACAAATACCACATCGTGACACATCATTTATCTGTGTACTTTTAAACTCTCCATTCTGGAATTAGTTTTCCAAGAAGATAGAAGGATTTTTTCATTTTATCAAAATAAAATTCTTCTACTATTCAACTGTTCGTATGAAATGTCATTTGTATCCGATAGGAAAATTAGTTCCTAGTTGATCAAATGATTCAATTTTTTTTTCAACTCATAATTTTACTTCAGGGGTGTATTTACTGATATTTTATACCATCATAGAAATTTCGAATATGATTCATTGAAATATTGCAGTCCGTGATATCGATAATAGAGTAGGTAAAAATTAGGTTACGTCTTCTGTTTCATATTTTTCATTCGTTTCAATGAAACAAAGCTAAAGCTGTAGTTTGTGTTTTAGTCAAAACATTGTAGAAAAAGCGTGAGATGAAATCAAAGTACATGATATTTAATATAATGCAGTAAGCAATTAAACTATTAAATATAGGACTAGGTGATTCAAGAGTCATAAGATACAGCGTCAAATTCTGAGCTGTGACAGGAAAGAAAACTAAAAGGTTATTAACTAATATTATTTTTTTACCTAATGTTTACTACAAACACATATTTCTAACAAGGAATGAAGTCAATATCTGAAAATTTTGAAACAATTGTAATTTGAATATTTCATATAGACGAAAAGAAAAGAAGGAAGCAAAGCACACATATGCACACCTATCTGTTTAGACCATTTCATAGCTTTCTTTTTCACGATATATTTCCATTATACAACTAATCCCCAATCAACATCGTACATCGATCGTAAAACGAATGTATACACAACTAGATCGGTCCTCTCTTTTTTGTCTCTCATCTATTATATTGTGAAAGCAGATACTCATATATATACACCGCGTTGTCCTGTTCAAATAGAGGCGTTTCGTTTTCTCTTCATCAAGAAACGCGGCGACATAGAAGAAAAGAAACTAATCGTCATTTTTCAATTATCACTACGAATAGATAGTATTTGCATTTGTTTATGATGTTCGTCTTGATCAATAGTCACATCTAGCAGAGTTTTATAATTAAGGAAATACAAGAAAGAACAAAAAAACTATGCAATGGTAAGACCATTTGATTCGAGATTTATCAAAATTTCTTGATTGGTCAACAAAGAAGAAAAAGACCAATCGTGTTGACATAAAGCGAGAGAGAGAGAGAGAGAAAAACAGAGAGAACAAGAGAGAAATGAAAAGAAAGAATCATCACCTAGTTATATACTCTCAATGGCACTAGTCGTATTTTCAATAGCATTATAAAAAAATACATAATCAACAGACAGACGATCAAAAAAAAACTCGACTCCTTTTAGAATCATGAATATACAAGATAAATCATTGATGAATAACGATCCATTACAATTCGATCATGCATATGCACAATCGTTTACTTGTCTGAACGATGCTTCGTTTGAATCGAATAATTATTTTTACGCTCAACGTCAATACCAACAACACTATTATCCTCAATATTATTTTCAATCATTATCAAATGACGATTCAAATTATTATCAACAACAATCGAATATAAATTACGCACAAAATTATTCATCTCACTCATATAGTGAACCATTAAGTATTAAAGCAAACTCAGATGTATCGAATGAAGATTGTAAAGATTCAACACCACCATTAGTATCAGAATCGAATTCGAAAAGAAAGACGTCAAGCGACAGTAGTAAACGACCAAGACGTTTACGTACACATTTTACATCAAGCCAATTACAACATCTCGAAATGACATTTACCTATAATATATATCCAGATGTAAATTTTCGTGAAGAAATTGCAGCACAAACAGAATTAACTGAAGCAAAAGTAAAAGTGTGGTTTAAAAATCGACGAGCAAAATTTCGAAAGGTAAGAAAAGAAAATGAACTCAATTTTTTCAAAAACGATAACCAAAAAACTAACGTTTATTATTTTGAATAGAAACAAAAAGGACACAATGGTCCGTCTTTACCATTGCCTTTACCACCACCACCACCACCGCCTCAAATGCCATCGCTACCTCCACCTCATCAATTATCATCATCATCATCATCCTCGATGATTCTCGAACAGCCATCGGTTTGGGAAACAACAGGAGAATCTTCGTCGTCAACAAATGATTATTCAAATCCACAGACCAATTATTATCATCATCATCATCATGCATGGTGGACAGGATAATGTTTTTTCTAATTAGATTTATTAAATGGTCTGTGATAAATAAATATTGAGAGAAATAAAAAACTAAAGGAATTGCTGGTTCGCTGTGTATGCATGTATGTATGTAGTACATTGTACAATGGTTGCCTTCGAAATAAACTATTTTTTTCTCATCTATATAAGATATATTATGGGATGATTATTCCCGGAAACAATTCACATTCTTAATGAACGCTAAAGCAAAAACAAATTGTATAAATTGACATAGGACGAGCAAGAAAATCGATCAATGCTATTTTCTAAATAAATAAACAAATGTGTTAGAAAATGAAAATTATTTTATTTTCTAACGGAAGTTGTTCGAAGAGTACGAGCTATATTTTATTGGTTATTTGATTTTAGTCCATAGAAGAATAGAAAGAGCGAAATGATCATTTGTACGTCGTTAGCAAATCCTTTGCTAAGCATCTGCAAATGTTGAATATTTGTCTATGTATACGTGCCGCAATGACTTACTATTCAATAGAGTAGAGAATATCTTGATCAATCTTTTCATTTCTTTTCCTTCTTCTAGTGCGTCTATTTATTCTCATCATAATAATGTCTAGAAGATTGACACCTTTATGTTGGATGTAATATCGGATGTTTGAGCCGATTCATTTAAATTTCTATTTTTTTCTAATTGCGATGTTATGTAATACTCAGAAAAATTACGAGGTTGTTTATTTGTCAAAATTGAAGTTGACTTCAATTTAAAATTTTGATCAGATTTGTCTGCCAGAAAAACAAAATATTGTATTAGATGATCATCAAGAATGCACAAGCATTATTTCAACTTCTGGTCGAATTCAAAATTCTTAAATAATTAACATCACCATGAATAATTATTTTTAGTTGTCGATAAACAAATTGTTGATTTTAATTCAAGTAAAAAAAGATTGAAACTAAACGCATATGATTTTATATTTCAATGAAAGCAATAAAAATAAACTTGTAGCAGTGATTTTAACGTGTCTTTATCGTTTTAGAAACAATATATGTCACATGGTTGTCTTTCTTTTAATAATTGATAAATATTAATGAGGAAATACATTGGTACAACACCAAAGATAATACCTATTTGAATACTTAACCCATAATAAAATAATCCGTTGTCTTTTTTCCATGCTAATTTAATTCGATTTCCACTAGCAACACGTACATAGGCAAGAATAAATGACGAAAAACACCAAGCAGCAATAATAATGATTCCTCCATGCAATGTATCGGCCCATATTGGACAAGGACTTTGAAAAGCAACAGCAATAATAAAGGCACAAATTAAACAACCACATATTGAACTTATAATAATCCAAAACGTTGATATTGTTGGACGTATTAAACCGTAGAGTGCAGCTAATGGATAGGATATTGGAAAAAGTATATTGCAATAATAAAATGCTTTTTGACCATACGGTAATAGGGAATAAGTAACTAATGTTGGTAAACAACCAAATACAAAAGCAGAATTAACAACATTAGATGTTTGAAGGATAAAAAATTCCTTTTGTGTCATTGAATTTGGTGCTGATAAGGATCTTTTTTCTGATTCTGAACTATTTTCTTTTGTTACTAATAATTTCTCATAGCTTTCTATAGAAGTTTGTTGACAATGTTGATCATCAGCATTAGCCAATTTCATAATTGATGTAAATCGAAGCGCCATAAACGATATTAGCGACAGAGCTATAATACCAGAAATGAGAAAGAAAAATGTTGAAACGCTAAAACGAGGTTCAGAATAAATAGGCTGAACATGTAATGTAACATTGTTCATTATACATTGAGCTTCACCGCCGACACCTTGCGCTAGTGCAATGAATATTGGCAAAATACCTGTTAAACTTTCACCAAAAAATTTTGCATGTAAATATTTTGCTTTAAAATGTCTCATATAATCACAAAAAACCAATGATGACGTGCAATCAAGCATTGCTAAAGCAAATACTGCACCTATCAGTGAAACACTACGTTCTGCGCCAAAAAAACATGTTGTATAATCCCAGAATAAACCAATTGAACAACACGCAATGATGCCAACAATTATGATTATATAAATATAAGGAATTTCAGAAAATCGTTTACCTAATTTCCAACGTAAAACAACAACTATGAGTGGAAATATATTAGCAAAGCTTATAACCAACGATAATGTTGATGGTAGTGTCCAGCGTTCAGGAGCGCTATTAATTATTAATGGTAATTCAATCCAAACACTATTTAAGTCTATCCAAGTGCTTAGATTAAATATTATTATCAGAATATAACAGATATTTTCTGCCCATTTAGAAGACTTTGTATTTGAACTAGGCAAAATGAAATAATAATGCAAATGAACTACGATAGATTTATATACGTGTACTTAATTGGCATGGGTAAATTATTCTGATCCATTATTTGATGAAAAATATATACTGATGAATGTGAGGAGAGATAAATCGTTTGGTTCTATTTTTATATGTAAGAAGTAATAAATGTTATCAATTCCATCGGTAACATCAATCGATATATCGAGAGACGACAAATAGAAAGCAATCAAAAAGAAAAGAACTTTTACTTCAATTCATTATGTTTTCCTTTTTGGTAAACAAAGTGCAATATGCAACCTTTACTTGATCAGTTGATTTTTATGAAATCGTAATAAACTATATGTTAATCGGTATTTACTTTGTTCGATTTATTTTTTATCTAAATTCAGAGAACTTTACCAAAAATGTACTCACATTTCATTCATGACCGGATATTTTCTGTGTTTTTTTTAACATGACTATTATATAATCAGCAATAGTACTTATCTAGTGAGGTCGAATAATTCGAAATAAGAAAACATGTCTTTTTTTTCCATTACATCCATGCTGTAGTTCAGAAATGTCATGTGATTTATTTATTATTTAATTGAACTTGCCGACGATTAAAAAAACGTACTTTTATTCTAATTCATTAGAGTCTTGTAATGCATTCATCATCAACTTGGTCGTTACAGTTTGTCATGGAAATATTTTGTTTTATGAACTATTGAAAAATCCTTATGACAACATTGAAATATCTTTATATCTTTATATATGTGATCTCTATTGTCTATGAACGCAAAAATACAAACAGGTATTTTTTTGGCAAATAAAATAAAGAACAAAATTAGTAAAAGATTTCGAAAGAAGGAAAAAAGATATTCATTAAAATTATTTTCATTTTCTTTTTCTTTGTATTAAAAAGAGTTCATAAATAACATCAATAGAGATTCTAAAACATTGCAAATTTTTATATATTCCACCAACATATTAAAGCTACAGATAAAAATAAGTACCATTGAATGATAAATCGATTTGATGCTGCATAAAGAGCTTCACCATTATAAAATTGTCGTGCAGTCATTCGACAGCGCACATCAGTCAAAGCATTTTCACAACCGTAAAAACCACCTGAAAAAAAATGATATGAATGTAGATTGAAAAGGTAAATAATGCGTTTACCATGACAATGCAAATTTGCTTGTTTCATAATATATTCCATAAAATTTGAAAGTTGTTCAACATCATCTCGAACTTCACTTATCGAACAATTTGTTATATGTTTACCGGCACATTGAATGTAATCGGTTACTTGTTTACACCATTGAATTTTTTCTTGGACAGACCAACCAATTTCAAATTTAAGTCTATCTTCTAATATATCATTGCATTCCTTTCCGGCCTATATCGCAATTGTATAATTGTTATTATGTTTGAAATTTTATATTTACTAACTTCTTCGACTTCACATGGGGCTATCGTTGATGATGTCGATGTTGTTGTTGTCGTTGTTTTAGCTGGTGATAGGGTTGTAGTTTTACATTTATATTGAATAATTGTCGTAGCACCAAGACCAGCACAATATCTACCTAATCGCCAACCCTAATGAAACATGAGATATATGTGCAAATAGGGCAAAAATCTGAGTTGGTAAAAAAATCTTACATTTTGTTGGAGACCAACTTCAAAAGCAGCTAATGCACCTGTGTGTTCACTTTTTAGATCACAACAATGAAGTTGTTTATTAACGCATTCTGCATATTTTTTTCCTTGATCACAAAATTGAAAAAGTTGTTCACGTGTATAGAGATCATATTTGAACTAAAATAAAATTGAAGACAAAATTCATAGAAATTAGAAATAAAACAACGTAAATCTCATACAATATCTTCATCATCAGCGGTTGGTGGTTGGGGACATTCAGATGCTTTCCATATATTACAACTATTCGCTAGTGGTATAAGTGAAAACAATAGAATAACTAATAGCAGAGATAGATAACGATGTTTAGTAAGTAACATTATTTGAACAAGTGAAATATGTGACGACATGATTGTTGTTGTTCTTGTTCATTTCGTTTTTGATGTGTTGTTGTTAACACCTACACATGTTAATCAATTTATAATGAGCATGTTTGTCATGCAAAGGTATTCGATGAACTCAAATCTTTGTAGGTTATAGAATTAGAAAGAATCAAGCACATAGATATCTTGTTAAAATATTCAAATCAATTACTGCATAGTGAACACATTTTTTTAAAAGTATACTCTCAAAGAACAATGTTTTTGATACTTGCCTTTTTGTCATTGTATTCGACTAGAGTTCAAAGCAATAAATGAATGAATGTTTGAAAAAAAGATGACAACCGTGAAAACGAAAGACAATAAATAAGATGACATAAGCATTTTCATGTTTAAACAAACGACGAAAGGCAATTTCGGCTGATTAGGTAAACAATCGTTGGTTAAAGGATTGAAAGATAAGCCACTACATTGGTGAACTCTTTCGACGTAAATTCAATAGTGAAATAATCCAGTGAGACTTGGTCATCGTCGATCAATTTAATAGTGAAAAAGAAAGAGAACCCTCGTTTAACAATTATTCAAACAATAGACATTGAAATCATGTTTTTCAAAAATATACCAATGATAATAATTCTTAAATTGACGAAGTTTTGATTGCTATTTGAATATCTTCTACAGTATTTATTTTATAAGAATATATATATATGCAAAGAGCGTAATGTTAATTTTTTTTTTCAAAAATTCATAAATATACAGATAAAAAGCTAACGAATAATCTTATATTTTAAAAATGTTTTGCTAAATATTTCAATAGTTATTGAGCTAATTGCATATAAATTTCGATTGAATGAAATGATATTTTATCATCAATAGAAGTCTAACAAAAAAAAAAAAAACCCCAAGCACATTGACATTCATTACTATTAGTTATGTACGAATCTTCGTTCGACGTAATGCACATTCACTAATCTCTCTTGATCCATGTTTTATAACAAGCAATTATCATTTACGCTAAGTATATATCAGATTCAATCTGGCCAGTGACTAGTTGATGTTAATTCGTGTATACTTAATTTTTTCCTTACTAATCCAAAGAAAAAGAGTATATTTGAGATGAGCTGCTTTTTCGCTCCAATGTTTTCTGAGAAATTCTGCAATATTTTATCCATCTTTATTTAGTTTTGTTTCACGTATTTTCATGATTTCATCTTTGTTCATTGAACAGGAGATTTTTCTCTACAGAGCATACATTCATACAGAGAAAAACAAAGACTGCATTACAAAAGAACATTTGGACAAAGGGCAATAATCAAGAAACACAACCAAACACGATTAATTTGAACATGTGTGTGTGTTGCTTTGTTCTAAGAAAGAGAAGAAAAAAGAAAGAGCCATAAATACAGGCCAACAATGAGAATATAAGAATGATTGTTTACACGCTAAAAAATATGAGAAAGAAACAATGATTAGATGGTATTGATAGTAATGTACATGAGACAAAAAGAGAGCGCGACTAGCAGCACCGATTAATTCTTGTTTTGGCAAAGAAAAAATATTTAATTACACATCGGTAGTTTTAGATGATCCAGCAACAGCTACTGGTTGTTGAATTATATGTGACGATGTAGAAGAAGAGGCAGACGAAGATGAGCTTGTAGCACCGCATGATGAATCTGCTGATGGTTGTAAACCAAGACGTTTAAGTAGTTCAATAGTTTTTTCAGGTTTTTTCATAATAGGTGGTGGAATCTTTTTACGATGAACTGGTTCAGGTGATGGACGAATTTTTTCAATAAAATGTGTTGTCGTCGTTGATGAAGAATTTGAACGCGATGTACGTGTAGAATCGTTCATGATAGTCAATTGTATTAGTGAATTGTTATTACTTTGATTCGATTGATGAACAGGTGAACCATTTGATGACAATGGAGATTTTAATGATTGATGTTCATTTATATTATTATCAATAGATTTTGTTGATGGTGGCGTAATTAATCCACTCGATATAGGTAAATTAAGTACGAGATCAGGCGCATCAGTTTCTTGTTGTGATGATACACGTTCTTCCTGCTGATTGCTTGTCGGTGGTACTGAACGAAAACATTGTGCATGACATTCTTCAACAGTACGAATACCAGATAGAACTTCACGTAAGGCTGTATCAATATCAATGATTTGTTGTTCATTTGTTGATGTTAAACGTGACGATGATGATGTTGATGATCGTGAATGACAACAATCAGGTTTTGACTGTGATATTGGTGGACTTGGTGGTAGAACATCATAGATTGAACGATGAATAGGTTTTTGACGACTTGAATTGCTCGTGTTTTCATATGTATTTTCTTGAGATTCATCAGAATCTATGTCTTCATCATCATCATCAATGTCTAAATCAACTTCGATGATTTCGGTTTCTTTTGCTGTTTCTAGACGATGTTCATCAACAATAGATAAATCAGATGTTTGACGAGAAACAGTAGGAGCATCAAGATGATCAATTGATGATGTTGTTAAATTAATGGAATTAAATGATGATGATGGACCGGGAATTAGATGTAGTAATGGTCGATTTTGAATTGGAGCAGACTCTCGGCGTCTATAAAAAGAAAATAGGCAATTTTTTTATGTTTACAAAATTAATAATTTCATTAGCTTCAATTAAGCACGTATCAGTCCATTCAAAAAAAATGTTGACGAGAGAACAAAGTGACCTGACAGTCAGCGTTTAAACGTACACATCAAGGTGATTCTACCAAAAACCTAAACGTTTGTCACAAGAGTCTTTAAAATCCATTTATAATTGTTTCAATGCAGAAATCGATGACTTGAAAATACAAAGATCATAGTTTGACGCTGAAAGTTATGAACAATTTTAGATTCTGGTTAGTGTAACCAAAATAAGCGTACAGTTACAAAAAATAGTCTCGAGTAATGCCTATTAGTTTACATGGTTTGCTGTGTCAGAAGCTGTTTTTTTTATATATTTACGATACATTGTACGATACTAAATGAAGAAACATATTTTCGTTATTTATTATTCATTTGTTTCAGTTAAATGGTTAGTCTCAATAGTTCACTCAGAGCTTTTGTTTTGCTCGAAATATTCTTAATAGAAATTATTTCTTTGCACATTATCATTATAGTGTTCTTTTCTCTTATACAAACCTTGTTTTCAGTTTGATGTAGCCGTCGGGAACATATCCCGACTCATTTCCACCAGCTAAACAACCTTGCCACCATTCCTGATTCATTCGTTTAAAAATATAAATAATTTGATTCTTTTTAAATGATAATTCTTTTTCAGTTCTTCCAACATAATCAAACAATGCTATGGCTTCGATCGTCTCCACTTCTAAAGATACCAAATACGCATAAAATAAAATAAATGAATATAATTCTATGAAGACGTCATTTAGAAAAATAAAGCATGCACGCACGCACAAACACACGCAAGGACGTGTTATATGTTTGAAAAATAAAACGGGAAATGCGGAAGACATGCTAAACATGCTCGCTCTGTCCAAGGATCCTCTGACATGAATTGCAAATAATATCTTTCTTGCTCTCAATCAACTCTGTTCTATTTTTTTCCTCATTCTTTACCAAACATCAGTCTCATTCATTAAATTTAAATCTTCAGTGCAATAATCGGAATCTTGTGAGGCTATAAATATGTTAAAAATAGAAATATAGTTATAATCAGTTGTATTTGTTTTGCTCGTTGTTCATATATTTATTCTTACCGTCATCACTTGGTGATCGTCTTAATGATCGTTCACTGATTCCTTCATCATCTTCATCTTCTTCACCATCACTAAAATCGAAAGAAAAATTGAATTTCCAATCGAAACTTCTACTTTTCGATCTTACATCGTAACTGTAATTGCAAATTTTTCATAGACAGGTCCATGACCATCCGATGGAAATACTTCTTCATGATGTGTAATGATCGTTCGTATGAGTTCAATTGTATGTGTTAAATATTGCACTTGATCTTTATCTTCAGGTATTGGCATTAGAGTTGGTGCTAAACAGCTAGCTAAATTAGATGCATCCATCATATTTTCATCCGAATATTCGGCAAGACTAAAACAAAAGAATAATAAAATAGTGTTTGATCAATAGAAAATCTTCGTTTCTTACTGATTGAGAAAAGCAAAAAAATAACGCATAACAATAAAGATTGGACGAGGAAGTAGTTTCACAACTTGACATAGATTTTCAACACATTTTTCTTCAGATTCAACATCAACTAAAAAAAATTCTTTTTCTTTTTAAAAACAAAAACAAATTTCTAACTCACCAATACACGAGATAAATGAATCAAACATATCCCGAGCAAATAATGGTTCTTTTAATTCTCGAAAATATAACTTCAAAACACCAGCTACGGAATTCATATCACGTCCAGTTATATTAACTAATGGATCTTCACCTTTTTCAAATGCTTCTTTAAATTGATTGATATCAACTTGTGCGCCCGGTACGCGAAAAATACCCTGTAAACAAAAACAAACAGGTGTTTGTCATTAATAAAATATTTCTATTTACCTGATTATGTAAACCAAGTCGATTAATCGCACTAACGCATGATGAAATAATTAGCGGTACATGCTGTTGAGTTACTTGAATATAATCTAATAGTTTGCCACCAAATAACCGTGGACGACCAAGAATCGGAGCACGACCTATTTGTTTTGGTTTTACTGGACGACGTAACAAACTGTAACACATAATCCTATGTTATTCAAACACAAAAAAAGAAGTAAAGATCTCAATACTTTTTATCTTCAACACTATTGGCGGGTGGTGCAGCACCTAGTGCTTTCTGCATAATATCATGACGAGCTTGTAGACGTGAAATTAAATTACTACTTAGTGTATATTGTTTGAATTTCTAGGGAAAGCGAAAGTATATAAAAATATATAAACAACTAATAATTATAAATGCCTCGACATAATAATCTTCAATTTCTTTTCTTTTATCTTTTGAAACATTTTGTGGTAAATTAAGGTCTTTGAATAGATCAGATACATCGGAATTTTTAGTATTTATAAATTCCATTAATGATTGTTCTGTGGCTTCGATTGTTTTAAAAATCTATTAAAACAAAACAAATAAATATTTACATTTCTTCTTTACAATAACAGCTGTTCATTTAATTATTCTCGTCCTTGCCTAAGGCAATCTTTTCGAAAATAATTGTTTACATACTGACATCAATTTTGCACTTACCAGTTCTTGACACACATATATATATATATATACTTAAACGTCTCAGAATCAGAACACCATGTAGAAGTACTTATTTCAGTAGTATGAGAAAGTTTAAAGAAATCCTCAGACTTTTTTTACAGTTTATTTTATTCAATCGATTAAGTAAACTTCTAGTAGATTGAATTGAAAAATAAATATCAACTATACAAACCTCATCATTTTCTGTCTTTAATCCTGCAAGTCTATTTTGCATTTGTATAAAACGTGATTGCATTTCGTCACGTATTAATACTTGAGCATTAACAGCTGATACTTCATCACCTTTATGTGGTTCAAACTTGATCTTTTTTGGCATCGTGAATATGTTTGTATAATATTCTAAATATTTTTGTTTGTCCGTAACTGTATCTAAATCACCGATCGCTCGATTTAATGTTTCAATGGTTCTATAATCGAAGAAACAAAAATACTCTCTTTCTTCTTATCAATTAAGTAAACAACAATTAGCATACCCTTGTCGACCACGTTTTATATTTTCTTGTGCCGATAAATACATTTGGATTGTTTTAGCTATGGACGTATGAAAACCAAAATTCATGCAATCAATTAAATCTGGTACATCATCCAAACAATATTTTTTCAAGGCAGCATTCACAGATTCAATTGTCATAAGATAATCATTACGTGCTTTAAATGCTTTGACTTTTGTTTCCGTATATTTTAGTTGTCGCTAATATTAAAAAGAATTGAATTAAAAATCTTTTTTAGTTCACGTTTTTACTTTTTCAACTCGCTTTTCCATAGTTTTTTGTTTTTTAGCACTTTTTATTTTTGCAATCTGTTGTTGAATACTTCGTAGTTTTTGTTCGGCTTGTTTGCTTTCACTTTGATATTGATGATAGGTTTTCAACGTCTAAATAAACAAGCACATGTGTAATCAATATGTTTGAGAAATCAAAGATAATAAATAAATAACTTACACTCTGCAATTCATTAAGTACTTTATATATATCTTCATGACTACCTAGGCCAACGGATTTACACTAGAAAACATTTAGAAAATATAAGAAAAAAAAACTTGTCATTCATCATTTTTACTTTTGCAAACATTCGTCTTGTATCTTCAGCTATTTCATTAAATTTATCATACATATATTTTCCACAAACATCAGACATTATTGTATGATATTTAACATGAGTACGAGTATCTTGAACAATAGTATCCCATAGTTTATATATCGAATGAAGAATCCAACTTTCTCGTCTAAGTAGTAAGCGAAGAAAGAAAACAATAGTATTAAATTTTAAGTAGATAAATGTGATATCTTACCGTGCTTTTTGCGTACGATGTTTTTGACCTATTTGTTTATGTAAATTATCGAGATTTTTAGCGTAATCAAGTTCAACATCGGCACGACGTTTGAAATATTCTTGAATTTCAGCAAGAATTGATAACTGTGTATCAATGCGTTGTTCCAAACATTTTAATTGTTCAGTTAGTTGAAAGCGAATGTCTAATTAACAACAAAATAAAAAGAATAAACAAACAAATTAGAAGTTGAGATTCATTTCTTTTGATCTGATAATCCTACGAAGTCTATAACGTTCAGTTTGTTTTCGTAATAAAGTTATTTGTGAATTAGATGAACGGCGTAAGCTATTTTTTGTTGAAGCCACTCCACATGCATAGTTCACCATGATAGATAGACAACTATATTCTAATTGTTCGTTCGTGAGTCTGCATGATGATTGAATGAGCGAATGAATAAAGGACTCTTTTTCTCTTGTTCTTCTGCTCAACGACGACGACAGCTATGTTAGAGCTTAATGTATCACTTTATGTGTATGTCTGCCCTCCAACAGAGTAATAGCAAACATTTGTTCGCATAGATATGAACGATGAAAGAGGAACAACGTTATATTCCAATGTGAGGCAAGCACATTCAACATCATCGAATCGGTCAACGTTTTTATTCGTAGTTATATATTTTTTTCTTTTCTTCCTTCTTCTTTTTTCCTCTTTTGTCTTGTTCATTAGAAATATGATACCTTTCTGTTCATTTTATTGTTTGACTTTTTCTTTATTTTTTTTTATCAATGAAAAGAAAATCTATGTAATGATAAACTTTTGATATTTCTTTGTTTTCTAACTGTTAAATTTGAAGTGATAATCATATCAGATCATTTTTTATTAGGAAAAATTCTATTCAATAATCTCATCTGAAACAATACTTATGCGTGATTGGACAAGTCCTTAATCGAATATTTCAATAATGCCTTCAGGCTTCACGGGATGTCATTGACTTCCTACAATTATAATCTTTTCTTTCTCATGATTTTTGACGTTCTCTTTATGAAAATTTAACTCATATGCATTTCTTTTGTTTTTAATATTGACTAGCTGACTTCAATTCATCATCATCATCTCTGATATCAACGAAGAATAATAACAAAGCTCCGTATCTTATACACGCGTTGGTGATATACAATATCTCGAATGAATAGAGATAGGTATTCATTTATATATATAAATATACTATCATGAGAGAGAGAAGGACTTATACACATTTCGCTCTTTCGAACCTGATATTCTCCTACTCATTTTTATCCCTAATAGTGGAAGATAAAATGGCAATAACTTTTACAAACCTTTAACAATTTGATCAAATTCCACTAAAATTTGTTTTTCTTTCTTATAGTATTTTTCAATAGGTTTATCTTCATTAAACGATGCTGGCGATGATGGCAATGATATACTAGATGTTAATGGTAATGGCGGAGGCGGTGGTGTTAGACATTGTAAATAGGACGTATATAATACAAGTGAAGTCGAGCTCACTGTATTGGGCTGACTCTTTGTATTTATAGTGTTATTATTTGATTCGGAAGGAGTCGACATTACATCTAGAAATAGAACAAAATATAATGAACGAAAATAAATGACAATAATCTTTACATGTCGCTCAATCTTTTTGCTAGATGTGTTTTTTTTATTCTTAAGGCAGAAAAATAGACATGATAGTTTTGCAAGATAAATAAGAGACCGAGAAAAATAAAAGAAAACATCATATAGAAAACTATTTAGAGAAGGACAAAAGGTGGTAATGACTTTTTTTTCTATCTCGTGCTGTTGTACTTTCTAAGTCGACGGCTGCTAAATAGTGATGAAGACTACAAAGTATGCATGTCGGCAAATAAGAGAACAAGGAAAAAAGCTCTTCGTGATATCTTCATTATGAAAGTACAGCTTTAGCGACATTCTCAACGAACAGGCAATAAGAACCGAATAAACAACAACAACAACAACAACAACAGCAATAAATAAACGACAAACGACTAGTCGGAACAGCAGAAGCGGTAGTTAGTAATAACACATCTTTGTGCCATTGTGCACATCTTCTTGCCGCTATCGTTGCCATCTTCAATGTAATTGCCATACGTCGTTCGACCGTGCCTTGCCTATCTGCACCTATGTGTCTTCAGATATCTATCGATATGTACGTACGTACATACGTACATACGTACATACATATATATATACATGTGTGGGTGTGTCAACGACAAACACCAACATCAAGGACAAGCAGTTGTCGTGATGCTGTCAAAGACCTAAGAGGCAGAATACGACGCATCGTCCTCGTTGTCTTTCATCGTCAGCAAGACTCTAAATAATGACGATGAGACCGAATTTAATGAGAACCAATAATAATGTCGATGTCAGCTTAGTCCAAGAGAACAAGTTCGTGATGATAGCACGCACTATTTTTATTATGATTTGTCTAAGTATTTATTTTCTTCTTATAGAGAACTGTCATTCTTTGCAGAATCGGAACTTTTGCAGTTTCTCTACGCAAATAAAAAGCAGCAAATTGAGTATGATGGATGTAATAAATTATATGTAAGAAGAGCACGAATTATCAACTATTGATCATTCAATAGATATATACATTCATCTAAAATAATCAATGCATTATCTTTGATAGATAGAGTTTTTATGCATCGATAAAATGTACATTTCAGGCAGGTACTGAACCGCAAAAAAAGAAAAGATACATGTATGACAGTAGAAAATAAGAAAAAAAATGAATAAGCCAAGAGGGAAATCAATCGATTCTTTTCTAACAGGAAACGCTCTTTTGTTTCTCTTAGACAAAAGAATACAGTAGTCTTACATTTTTTTTTTCGACGTTGATATGTTATAATTGATCAATCGGAAATAGATATGAATTGCTGGGCGATTAATAAACAAAAGAAGCGAAGAAAAAAAGAAAAAACAGAATGTCAACAAGATTGAAGAATATATTGACTCGTGTTTTAGATGAACTGACTGGACAAAGAATTTATGTTGATTCGTCAAAAAATTAGCCATCATGATTTTCCATGTTATGGATAGACGCTTATGATTATATTTATGATGCTGACATCTATTGAAGATGGGAAAAAAACAGAATGAATAATTAAATCTTATTAATATCATTGTAAAAGCTTCATGCTCGATTTATTAGGTTTCATCGAAACGGATAATCGAATAAATTGAGAAATAAGAAAATATGTTCACCTCAAAATCAAAATCGCATTCTACAACAATTATTTAGGCGCATAACTTATTATTTAAGAAGTTTTCTTTTTGTATTCCTAGTGAACATCGATATTTATATAATTAAACTATAAAAATTTCTCATTTAATTATCATAATTTTCTTCTTAAAACGCTTCTTCTAGATCAACTTTTGTGCTCCAGTATTTATTTAACAATCATAAGATTGTATAAATAGAAGAGTATCCGGTTTGACTTGTACTTAGGCGAGTGCTGGTGTCTTTTTTTGTCGTAGTTGCTCTCGCAAAAAATAGATTAAAACCACTAATAGAAAAGAATTTTACATCGTATGAATACTCAGATAAATAAAACCATTGTTAATTATTTGCTTTTTCTGCCCATCTCTCGTAGCTAAAAGTATCTGTCTTCTAATTGACTGTCGTTTATTACTCTGCTATTGTTAATGCTCTATGGATTTTGAATATAACCATTCTTTGATGGAAATGAAACAATATGTTGACAGACAACGCTTGCAATGATAAGCACATAGCTACTACTCAAGAATTTGATATTTTTTCATATCAAATCAAGATAGTAAAAATAGAAGTCTCTCGAATGTTTGATAATCGCGATAGGCTGCTGAAACAAAAACGGAAGACAAATTATAGGCTATGCTGATTTGTTAATCGATTAGAGTTTTGCAAAATGAAAAAAAAAAGTTGTCCCAATTAGAGCTCTGAAAAGATGCAAAAGAGAAACTATTATAGTTTTACCTGAATTTGTTCTCACTTTTCTCATGGTTTTTGTAAAAAATGCAACAAAAAGATATTTCTTGTTTCTGCCATGTATTTTTGTTCTAACTGTAGCTGTTGATGAACATACTCAAACTGATTTAATTCTTAGGTGCACTCATTCGCTAATATACAAAAGTAAAATAATGATCTTATTTTTGCGTGTTTATCAATGATCTTATTTCAGAGAGTGAACGTGCAGAGAAAATGCAGGATGAATACGAATCAAGTTTAGGAGAATAATCAGCGCAATTACCTGTAGTTTATTTGGCGTAAAGAGTTCAAAGGAAAAAAACGATGTACCATCGATGTTTTCACTAGATACTCGTAGGGATGAGCAATTATTGTTTTAAACAACACTATTTTTTCTCTCTAAAAAAGATGTTCGTTGTTGGGATCACCTTTTTTGCTCCTCTGTAATATAACACAAGGGCAAAGCATAGGAAATTAACTATTCAAATAGCATTCATGACTACATGCTTTCATAGTTACTCTAAATATAATCTTATTGAATTATGTGACAAAGATCCTTGCTCAATTAAATATTATTGTTCTTATTGCACACTTTTCACAGCGGCGTTCCAATTCTGCAGAAAGGAAACTTCCGAAAAATAATTAACGCACGAAAAGGCAATTTGTAGGAAACTTCCGTCATTATTAACTCGCAAGAAAAAGATTCTAACGATATTTTTATTAAAATACAAACTCACATATGGAAAAAATAGAAAAATTTTAATTAATTTATCAACTTATCTATGTAGTTTTTTTCGTACGATTCGGTAAATAATAGATTTACCTACAAATTAGTTTTCAAAGTGCTAACTATTTCCAGAAACAGGATAAATACAGCTGGCAAAAGTATGTTTCATGTACTTCAATTTGCCCTTTCACAAGTATACTTGCTCTTGCTCTCAAGTACCTAAAACATACTTGATATTTGATATAAATATAATATACTTTATGCTTGAAGTTGAGTGTCTCTCAGGAATATTTCAAGATCATTGTTACATCATCTAAGCAATAATTAAAGCTAAATAAGAGTTTTTTCTTCTCTCATATACCCATACCTTGACGTGCTGACATTGCTTAAAACTATTTATATTTATCCTTCGAGTTTATTCAAAATTATGATGCTCGTTATCATAGATAAGTATAGCTCTTGATGAGAAAAAAAATTTACATGCAATCATATATACGTTCTACGAGTGCAGGCATATCATGGCTTCACTCGAATTATCGAATCGTTGACAGTGTATATTTAAAATATTGTTGCAATATGATATTTATGAAAGATTTCTTAAGTGTAATCTCTCCGATCTGTTTTAATTATATGTATATGAAAGATTTATTTCATATAGAAGAGTTTGAAGAAAATGTTGAAAAGTACTCAGAAAACTACTGCAATTGTTATTGTTGCCTTGTATACACTGAAAAAATGAGCAAGATGATAGATGAATGTGAAATACTGTGAGCAATAGAATAATAAATCCTATGGATATATGCATTGATGCTAAATATTCGAAGTCAATTAGAATGAATCTGGATATCACGTAAAAATGAAATCTATAATTTATTTGTTTGTTTAAAATATTTAGACAAGTATCTAAAAGATGATCCTGAAAATTTGTCAGGCAAGTAAATATAAATAAATAATGTATAAACACACAAAACGAAAACATTATTGTAGTAAAGTCAAAAAACAAATGTTTCATAAAGATTACGATGTTGATCAAAATCAATGGCAATGATGCGTTACCATCAATTATAATTAGTTTACTGATTTCTATGATCGATTGAGTATCGAATTACAAATTCATATGTTTGATTTGAAGTGTCATGAACATGAGCTTCGATTTGCAAGACGATACGATGAACTGGTCTAGACGCTCATTTGTTTTTACATTGAACTCTGATCAGAAAACTTCAAAATAATTACTTTGATATCTTTAAAATATAAATATCTTTACATTTATGACGCGCATTTTGCAAGCGTTGCAGTATTAAATTTATCGATCAAATCATTAGTGCCAATACATTCAATATAATATTGTAGCTACATGAAGAAAAGACTTTCGTTCTATTTATAGATAAGTTAAATAAAAGAATTCTTTTTCTTTCTTCATCTCATATTGTTAATAGAGCGCTGTCATTATTGAGCTTGATGCCATTCATTTTGACAAAATGAATGATTCGGATATTTTTGCCCAAGAACAAATCGAATTATGATAGGATACAAATGAGAACTTTGATTACTTCAATGGTATCGAGTCTCTTTGCTGAAAATACAAAACAGTTTTACTATGTAATCCGATTCATATTTACGAAGAGGATCATCGATCTAAAAGCATTAATTGTCTTTTCATTAGTCCGATGAAATCTCTATTACTCATTCAAATCATCAACTCCGTTGAGAGTTAATAGAGTAGAAGAGCAATGAAAATAATTTTTTAAAATAAGTACGTAGATGATTTAATCTGCGTATGATCTCTAACGATATGGAAAGTACGACTTCAGATGATCCAGGAACACTACATATAATCTATAAATACTTCGATTACATGTCTAATGATTGAAATAATGAAAGAAATTCATTTTACGTTTTTGGCATTGAAGAGCCTAATCAATCGGAAGTAAATATTTGATTTCACTTATTTTGAAAGTTTAATGGCTAATAAACTTTTAGTTGAATTCAAAATTTCAATAGAACATAAAATGACTGCTGTTATTCAAACGACTATTGAACTTACACATATTGTATCAGATAGTTAACAGAAAATTATATTTTTAACTAACGATTTTTTCATTTTATTTTATTTTTTTCTACAAGCTGTTAAGTCAATCAATCATATGAGAAAGAAGTCTAACATATTCTATATATATATATGAGCCAGTCCACGTAAGCCACGACCGATCACCATAGAGGGGCGCTCAATGAAGTTCATAGATTTGGGTAAAATCTATCCCATCTTGTAGAGTATGTTGTTTTAAGCCTCGAACCAAATTTTTAGTCTTATTGGAGAACTCCCTGTTGAGATATTATGATCTTTCGAACGAATTTTTACCGTTTTTTAACGACTTTTATATGAAAACAAGAGAAAAATGTAATTTCCAAATTGGTTTTCTCTCAAGATATGAGTCGGATGGTGCTCAAAAATAAGGTTTCGAGCACTACGGAGCTGAGGTTCCCCCAAGAGTACAGTCGAAAGCTTGTGATCTCTGATTGAGCAAAATCGGGTGTGGCTTATGTGAACTGGTGCATATATGAAATTTTATCTATTTGAATCAGCGATAAGTATTATTGAATTACTCTTTGCATTTAATGGTTCGTGCATTGCAGAAAAGAAAGTTCGTCACATCAAAATAGGAATACCCTGGCCTAATTTAATAATATATGTTAGCACTATTTACTGGCCGGTCATCTATTGAATTACTTAAACGAAAATCAAGTAGTCCAACTTATTCGATTACTAGTTATCAATTGACAAGAAATATGTGCGATCATATAATAATTATGTATTATTCTTTGATTTAAAGTTTAGTCAATATGTTTTTATTTTCTAATAAGAATGTACTTTAGGTTTTTTCCTCCGTTTAGATTCGTTGTTTATTTAGCATGAAAGACATTCAACCATATCAGGAGATGTCGTATTTTTATTTGCCATGACTACTTGACCGTATAATAAAATTTGATTATCGATGTTCTTAGGCCATCGTCGATCCTGTTTGCAAAAATTTTATTCTAAATGATTGTCTGTTTGTCTTCCGGCATAAAACAACGATCTTTTTATGCATTAGCAATCAGTTCATTTCTATGAAAGATTTTCCTTTTCTTTTATTCATTCAGATTATCAATCTATTGCGAATATCATATTTTCATCTATTTTGCTCAACATCAGACAAGAGAAAACAAATAGAACGATAAATGATGCAATAAATAGAGTGTACGAAAAGTCAAATGAATCGAAAACTAATTAAATGATCTATTTATGTTGATTTAGATACAGATTACGATGAGATATTTCACATTAAGAGATACTAAATATATTCTCATAAAAGTTGGAAGAATTTTCCAGCTCATCAACATATAGGAAATAGAAAATTTTTCTTAAAGGCGGATATTAACAAAAAAGTAATCTTTCCGTGCTAGATGTGTGAAAAAAAGAATTGTTTTTATTCTTCACGCTAAAAGTATCTATCGAAGGAGAGTCACACTCTAGTTTGTCAGTAGAATCTTTTTGTATGCTAAGCGGCTGATTAGGTTTTCGAGCATGAATTCTTTTGAAATGCTAATTGAACAATCGATGATGTATTCATGCACATTATTAAAGAATTTCCTTTATATTGATGATACATTGACGTGTCGTAATGACACTAAATTAGATAGGCAACTACGTGGTCATCTACAGAAGACGTCTGCATAAGCAGAAAAGAAAGGAGAGAGAAAGAACCAGAGAAGGCTCAAACAAAACTAAGTTAAGCCATTAAAGAAAAGTGATGGCCTTCTATTCTATTAGTTTCTTCTAAGTTCTTCCTATTCAGACTGTTTCACGAACTGGAATGAAAAATAAACATAAGAATCAACAATTCCTTCAGTCATTAAACTGAATCTAGGGTTTCTATTTTATGTTTGTTTCTAACAAAAAAAGAAGCAAAATATATTTAAATGCAAGTACTTATGCATATCGTGGGTTTTGGTTACTTGAGTGTGACAGCAGTTACGATGAATTGATGTGCGTGAATGAGTGAAAATAGAAACTATAGAACAACAAAAAATGAATGACTGTTACTTGTCATCGACTGATATGAATAATACTTGAAACTCCTCTTGACAATTCGGATATCGTTTTCAATGTCGTTCTTTCGCCCTGGCTTTCGTTGTTCTTTTTTTCTATTGAATAATATCCTGAACATGAGAAAAAAGATATCAATAGTGTCATAATGAAAACATCAAATAACAAAATGGGAGAAAGAGCTGGGAGCACCTTCAACATAAAATAAAATGGCAGTTCCAAGCTGTTAGTATAAATAGAATACAATAGCTAAAGCTATTAGAATATGTAATTGGTAATATGATGATATGAAGCGTATGATGATAAAGATATTTCTTCTGTTTTCTTTTTCTTAGTGGATAATTATCGAAACGCCTGGGCGAGCAGAAATTGGTGTGAAGGAAAAGCTGAAAGAGAAGAAAATATTAGATGACACACGAGAAAAGAGAAGAAATTCACTCGTTTTTTCTTACTTTGTCAATCCTTGCTCGTCAGTGCTCGTCGACTTACCTTCTTACGAATGACAAACTCTAAAGTCAAACTCGTTCTCATCAAAAAATTAAGCTGTTCACGTTTCTCTTTCTGGCTCTTTACGTTGTTCATTTCATATATTCCTGTCTAATAATAAACAACTCTATTTTATTCTATCTTTTTTTCATATTTTTAGTAGTCTTTACCTCTTCTATTTATAAGTGTGATAAATAATTTGAATTTTTTCTCATATTAGAAGACCTCCTTCTGTTACTGTGCACATCTTGACAGAGAACAATACCGATAGCAACAACAAAAAAACAGCAGTCCTCTAGAATTTTACTGTTTTTTGTATATGTAAACGCGCGCTCGAAAAAAAGAAAAAGAAAATTTCCATAAATGCTGGCGTTTTGAATCTGTTCCCTTTAACGCAGTATTGTGCGAGTGTGTGTGTGTGTGTGTGTGTGTGTGTGCAACAGTTAGTGCAAGCATCCTTTACTTCTATACACGCATCTATACAAGAGAGAAAACGACAACATCAACGACACGACAGCATTACAGAAAAACAGAAAAAAAAAGAAGACGAAGAAGAAAAATAAGAAAAATAAAAGCTATACAAGCAACACAACGATCATCATCATCATCTTCATTATTATTATTATTATTATTATTATTATTATTATTATTGTTATTTGTTATTGTTATTGTTATTAATATCAATTTAGTAATTGAATATGAACAACTTGAACCATGTCGATTTCTCTTCATCAAATGCTAAACCGGAAAATTCATCTATGACTACAGTTAATATACTTGGTCGTCTTCGCATAGCAACTGAACAAATTCGATACATTCAGTCCAGTTTAGCTCACGATGGTAAATGATAATCACAGAACTTTTTCTTATATATTCGACTTTTCATATTAGTTGAGAAAGAATAAAAAAAAAAGAAATAGAAAATTCTAAAGACAGGGAAAGAGTATCAAATTAATCTTTCTATTGAAAGTCGAATTAAACAAAAATTGATACAGAGTTTTCTTTTTGTTCTTTGAATTTACTATTAGCTTTTTTCTAGGTCTCTCTGATCAAGTGGACATGTTAGATAAAGTTGGTAAAGAACTCGATGGTATGTTGATAATAAGTTGTTTTCTTTATTATTTTCTTCTTTTTTATCTTATCCTCAAATTACAATTGAAAAAAAAGAAAAGAAAGTCTCCTCTAACACAAAAAAAGATGAATGATTTCAAGCTTTTTTCTTCTCGTTTTCTTTTCAAATCGAGGATATAAATAATCATTCGAAATATTCTATTATTTTTCTTGTTTCAATCAAAATGTTATTTAATCTACTGTTCTATTCAAAAATCGATCCATCTTTATGAAGGCATCGGAAAGTAACAATGAAAATATCAATAAGGATTTCTTTTTAAGGAATTCTGTTTAATTTGGGCGACATCTTTTCCGATGATACAAGACAAAGTGAAATAAATATTACATCACATGATGGTCAAATTAGTACATGGTTAGAACAAACATTTTCTTCAAAACCACAGCGTCCCCCTAATAGAGCTGCAGCTCGTTTTGAATCAATTAAAGCTGTTATTCAAGCATCATCGTTTGTCAATGCTTTACAAAAACAAGTACGTCAAAATGCCAAAGAACGCCTAACTACCGTACTTGATTTACCTGTGGATATTTGTAAATTAAATTTATGGTCATTTAATATGATGGAATATGATGAGCCAATGGTCTTGTCGACATTACTCATATTTGATGCACATGATATCATATCGCGCTATCGTATTGATATTGAAACGTTGAAAAATTTCGGACGAGCTCTAACCGATGGTTATCAAAGTACGTAGAGAGAGAAGTAAATTCAAACGAAAACGAAAAACATAATCTTCTGTGCCTATAGAATATCGAGCTCCGTATCATAATGATTTTCATGGAGCTGATGTACTACAAACAACGCATTGTTTACTAATAAAAAGTAGTTTAATGAACGTTTTTACGCAGACGGAAATAGCTGCATTAGTAAGTTAAATTAAATTATTCGCTTTAGAAATTATATTTTTTTTTCTGTTGCAATTAGTTATTTGCAGCTGCTGTTCACGATTATGAACATCCCGGTTTAAATAATGGTTACCTGGTGAAAACAAAAAACGATTTAGCTATAATTTACAACGATTTTAGTGTACTAGGTAAAATAGCAGAATCTAACCTGCAGCGTCTTTATTTTTCGTATGAACGCATATATGTCCAGATTTTTCTTTGAATATAAAAGGCCAAATGATTTTTGTAACATATGCTGCGATCGAAAAAATGAATAGAGACAAAAATTCTCTTATTTTCACTGTAAGACATTGATTGTAAAAACAAAAAAATGATCCATAGAGTCGCATATAGTTTTAATATTAAGAGAACAAAAACGAATTCAAGAGAAAATTGAGACTTTTATTTAATATTTCGTTTGTCTCTTGGCTTTTTTGGGAACAAAATTAATTGATCCTGTTAGATTTTGCTAACACAACACTTTATATTTCCGTGTTTTACAATTATCAATTTCTTGAAATTTGATATTCATCACTGAATATTTATTCTTGAATATTTTGAATAGTCTAGTAAATGTCTAAGAAGATAATACAAAAATTTGACAACATATCTATCAATGTAATGGCTTGTTTTGTAAACAAAATGTTTTCTTAAATCTAAAATGAGTACCTGAGTTTTATCACTTAATGTGGTCTAAAATATACGAAAATAGAGAATTCATCAATCATTGATAATGATCGTTCTTAACATCTATGTCATCATTTGATCGAGAGAATTCATAGTAAGAGAAACAAAATATTCGTGAACGACGATTTGACGTTGCATTTTGTAATGATTATGAGTGAATTTTTAATTAAGTCTGTTCGTCAGTAAGAATATCTATTTAAGGAGACAATCTCCTTTTAAGCTACTAGTGAAGAAATGTTCATCAGACAATCTTAAGAGTTTCAGGCCAGACGAATCTCATTGAGTATAGAATATGCTGTCGTCGACTTTATATTCTTGAATATTTCCCCTGCAGGAGACATTAGAATTACAATTTTATAACGTGGCCTGTTTTCTCAGCTAAAGATTCATTTAATAGAACTGAAAGTTTTTTTTTTTGATAGAAGGCATTGTTCAATTGTTCTGCTTCTTACTTTTTTTCCGTTCAAACAGAAACACTGAAAATGAAATGAACATTTTTGACAGAAACCATACTCTTTCTTATAAACTTTAATATAAAAACTAGTCGTAGTACATCATAACTTGAAACCTAGAGGCTAGACAGCCTAAATACTTTAATTAGAAGAAAGTTTTTTAGCTCGATTATGTACGCTATTGTTTAAAGGAAGACACTAAGGCGATTTTCTCTTCATAGTCTGTAGCAAATAGAGAATTCTTGAAATAAGCTTCATGCACAGACGCTTGCGTAGCAGCACAGAAAAAGAAAAAATAAACCAGCTAAAAATATACTATCAGGAAGAGAGAGAGCAATCTTCTCCCTAGAGTTTTCAACATATTTCGAATGCTGTTAACGACACGGATAATCTTTTAACAAAAGAAAGAGAATATTTTACAATGGATGTTTTTTCAATTATTCTACAAAAAGAACAAAACACACTCGGCTAAATTCTTAGATAAAATTACTACATATATATATATATTCGTTATTTGTTGTATTAGAAAACCATCATGCAAGTTCCATATTTAAACTTCTACGCGATAAACGTCATAATATTTGGTCGAATATGGATAAAAATGAATATCGAACATTTCGTTCATTGGTTATATCACTTGTTTTAGCAACTGACATGGCAAATCATGCTTCATTAGTTGAACGCATGTCAACATATTTCTTTTTCAAAGAAACAAATTCAGCTACAGCATTACCTGATTCTAAAACTCTACTACAGACATTGTTACATGCAGCCGACATATCAAATGCAACGAAGCCATGGCCTATTTATGTACAAGCAGTGGAAAAAATAATGGAAGAATTTTTTATTCAAGGAGATCTAGAAAAAATCTATTGTGAAGATGATAAACCAACATTCGATAGGGACTCGACCGATATTGTTCAATTACAAATGAGTTTTATCACACATATCGTTAATCCCATAGTTAGTTTGATTCTTTTGTTTTTAGTTAATGAAAATTACTTTCTCAATTTTAGTTTGATGTTTTATCAAAAGTTCTACAGATTGATTGTCTTGATCATAAACAAAAAGAATCATCATCATCAGCAACAACAACAACAACAACAACTAAATTACCATGGCAGTATGATTTACAATTAAATTTAGAAACATGGAAACAAGTAGCAAAAAGCGGTGATGTACAAAAATTAATTATAGATAAAAAACCGTTAAAATTAGATCTCATATATTTACAAGAATATGTTGAAAAAGCTGAAAAAATTTTGAAAAAACGTTCACAGCATGATCTTTTACTCGCTTGCACGCTCACATCATCATGATGTTTTCTTGTTTACAATTTGCTGTCTTGTTTCTTTTTGTTTTCTAGTCATAAATATATTTTTCTTCGTGTTTTATTATAATTATATATTTTTTTTCAACAAAGAAGAAAATCATCAAAACAAAATTTGATTGGAATTTTAAATAAAACAAGGTCTTCATATCATGCAAATGTGATAAAGAAGGAAAAAGAAAAAGAAAAAAGAATAACTATTGCAGTAAGAGTTATATTTACCGTCTGTCATACATGTTTTTCATCTCTGATGCTTTCAAGCATACCAAAAAGCTCACTGAAAGAACTGTTAGTTAATGAAAGAAAAAAACCTTTTTTTACTCATCCTGGTTTTCCTCCTTAATCTAAAGTTTTCCTATAGCTTCAACGAGTTTATTTCATTTTCTTATTTCTATCTTGAAAATTGCACATCGCATAACTAGCTTTTTCCATTTGGACAGCATTCAACAAAAACATGAGTGTAAAAACATTTGGCTCATATTCATTGTCCACGACAAGATTGGTTCTGGTTCTAATATGTCTTGTTGAATACGTTCAAATAGTGAATATTTACATAAGTAATCTCTCGTTTTCTGATTATATTAAATTCTTTTAGTCAAATGGCTACGTATTTTGTGGATACTATCGGGCAAATAGTCCATGGCCTTACTTAAAACAGTTAAACCTATTCATACCTATTATTCTGAAACTCGTCAGTAAAAACCCTTTTTTCAAAATTTTGTTTTAGGTGCCCATTTATTTGCTGCCCTTTAACAGCAGACACACAAGAAAATACAGCTTGTTGCAATATGACAATTGCACAGTCACCACTAACAACAACAATCACAATATTTGGACACCATTGGTGGACTTTGTAAATAAAATTGTTTTCGTAAGAGACCTTTTTCTAAATTAAATTTTTTAATTTTAGTTTACTTTTCATTTTGTGCTTTGTCCTAGCATTCATATTATTAATTCATATAAATAAACGTTTGCACGTATTTAATCATTGGAAACATTTTAGTAAGTACCTATTAATGAAATTGTTTTTTTTTCTTCTAGGTTGGCTTCTCTCTATTCTTTTTCTCATTTATAGATGCAACAATTAATCCTTCAGCAGCATTTACAATTTCAGCAAATGATTCAAACAGCTATACGATTGAGAAGGATTCCCCTAAAGATGATACAATTATTTTAGAGCAACATCCGCCATGTTATAATGATGCAACTACATCAAATCTACCTCCCTACACATCAGTTTACCCACTGAAAAAAGCAGACTTGAAATAAATAGGTTTTTTCCATATAATGTATGTGCACAAAAACAAGAAAAACAAGCATTCAAAGACAGACAGAAACGAAAAGAAGATTATTGCAATGCCAAAAAAAAGAGAAAAAAAACGAGAGACAGAGAGGTGTGCATGTGTGTGTGTATTGAATATGATGAAATGCCATTAATAAACAAAAAAGAAGAGAGAAAAATGTTTTTTTTCTTAATTTTTATCAGTTCATTGAGATTCAATTTTGCGACTGTATTAAAATAGTTCAAGAATTAATTGGCGATGATATATCTTCATCATCTTCGGATTGTATTGATTGTGAACAACTATCAGGTTGTTCTTCCTGGTGTATTGTATCCTCTTCATCGACATTCGTTCGCTGTAATGATGAATTTGTTGTTGATGTTGTTGTATGTGTTGATGAAACTGATGATGAACGACGTTGATTTACACTTGAATTATTTGTTTGACAATTATTTGTATTGGGTGGCAATAAACGTTGAAATAAATCCATTGTATGTTGTTGATGAAATGCAGCGGCTACAGCGGCTGCTGTTGCTGCTGCATTGTTCATTAGTTGTGTTTGATTTGATGATGTTGATGATTGAATAGGATAATCATTTAATGATGCGTCATCATCACCAGATAGGTCTTCTAAAGGTAAACCACGTTCATGTTTTGTTAAATGTCGTTCAAGATTTATTTGTTGAGCAAAACGACGATCACATAGATGACATGGAAATTTCTTTTCTCGATTATGAATATTTCGAATATGTCGTTGAAGATTAGATGAAATTGAAAATGATCGTTCACAATATTTGCAACGATATGGCTAAAGCAAAAAGAAGATAAAGTTTAATAAACAAATCTCATTAACCAGAAGAAAGAAAAAACACACTTGTTCGCCTGTATGTGTTCGTAAATGTCGAGTTAAATTTGCCGAACGTGGAAATACTTTTCCACAATAAGAACATGTGTATTTATCCTTATTATTTAAACGAGTATTGAAATATTGTAATTTATTTGCTGTTTGATGATGTTGCCAATTATCAAATGGATTATTAGTACTAATATTGTTGTTATTAGCATTAATATTATTATTATTATTTTTTGTTGCTGTTGTTGATGTGGCTGTTGTTGTTGTTGTTGATGATGATGATGATGATGATGATGTTTGAGGAAATGATGATATACTTGTTGATTGTTGATGATAAAATGTATTTAAATGTTTAATCATATCGAATTTAAAATTTGATTTTGTATTTTTAACATGATTTAATAATGAATCAACGTCATATTTTGATGATGAAAATTTTTGTTGATTTGATTCTGTTTGAATAATTGCAGGTGATTTTATATCACGTTCCGGTGATGATGATGATTTGGATGTTATAGGTGATTGATCAAAACGAGATTTTTTAACACTTAAATCAAGTGGAATATCTTCATTATTGTTACGTTTACTAGGTTGCTCTTGTTTTGGACTATTGGATTTTGGTGTTGAAGAATTTGTTTTTTCTTCAATTGAATTAGCTGGGGATAAATCATTGGAATTTGTTGTTGATGACGTTGGAAATGGATGAGAAAAGAATGGAGATAATGAACCATTAAGAAATGGATTCATTGTTGCCAAACGTGGTAAATAAGGGAGTAGTGAATATGGAAAATTTGAATTCCATAACCAATTATTCATTTGTTCTTTATTTAAAGACATTGTTGGAAGAGGAGGAGGCGGCAGTGGTGGGGGCGGTGCTGCTGATGTTGGAATTGATAAAGGAGATTTTGAAGATGAATGGTTAAATGAAGTTATATCTCCGCAGAAACGTCTAGATTTTTAAAAAGAAGAAAAAAAGAAACGAAAAGAAAATGAATGCCTTTTTTTCTTCAATTCTTTATGTTATCTTTACCGATGTTTATTAAGTGCAGCACTGTTCGAAAACGTTTGTCCACAAAATCTACATTTAACTTGTGTACGACAATCAGCATGCATTCGTTTATGTCGACAAAGATTGGAGAATTGTGTATATGATTTAAAACAAACTTCACATTGAAATGGTTTTATTGATGAATGAATATGCATATGTTGTTTTAAACCACTTGTTGTAGCAAAAGATTTTCCACATTCTCGACAAGGATGATGATGATTATTTATTGAATTATTATTTTGATTTGAATTTTCTAATTCAGAATCAGAATTTGAATATTGAATACTCGGTGTATTATCGTCGTATGTTGAGGAAACCTTAATATAGAAATCACACAATAAGAAAACAAATGTACAATAACGATTATGATCTATCATAATTATAATGAAAAGATGAATGAAAATAGACTGTTGTTATATGTTTACTTGTCTCCGATCTTCTGCTTTTTCTACCGTCAGTGCTACTTGTCAAATTCAATCATCGATGTTAGTACGGATGTGATAAAGACGATGCCGATGCCGATAGTCAACAATCAGCTCAGCTCAACTCACTCACTCATTCAATAAGAATAACATGAAAAGAATCTAAAATTAACTGAACAATCGCGTTCTCGCTCTCTCTCTCTCTCTCTCTCTTTTTATATACATATACGTATATATATGTATATGATTCCATCACGGAGGGACGGTGTCCCGTGTGTAATTATGTTTTTTCGTCCGTGCGTCGTACACAGGTGAGACGCCAACGAGCATCAGGCGATATCGGCAACAAACAAAACAGATTCTTTATTAGTTTTCTCTTGATACATATTGCTCATTGTCACACACTCATACACATACTTCTAATTTCTGACAAGACACTCCAAACTTGATGACAATATGTGTATATAACTTAAAAACTATGCAGGCGATAATCGGAGAGCAAAGGTGTGAAAGGCGGTCAGTTAACTATTGTCAATCAACTCTTCTTCTTCTTCTTCTTCTTATTCTTATTCTTATTCTCTGCATTCACACCTCGTTTTCAGAGCAGCATAATTATCACTGAGTTTATGTGCTCGTCTGAAAACATGATGAGTCAAGTAGGACCACCCGGGTGAGAGAACTTATTTGTGTTAATCCGCCTTCTTATACAATAACAATAATCATAATACAAAAAGAAAGAAAAAACTAACAAATATGTTTTTTTCTCATACAACAAATTTTCTATGATTTAATTTTTAGCCAAAGGCCGGATTTATTGTTCAATGTTCATTCATTTTATATCTAAAGGTTGTCCAATATCAAACAAACGATATGTGATGCGATGGATAATTTAGATTTCTCTTCTTCTCTCTTTTCCATTTTGCGCCAGAAAGCAGACTTTTTATGAACATCGGATATTTTTTCAATGATGATAATGCAAATATAGATTGACTTGGTGCGGCACTGTTCAAAAGCACATATATATATATATATATATATGTACACACCTCTGCCGTAAGGGTCAATGACCTGACTCGTCCGAGAATATCAAAAAAAAAAGGAAACAACAACGAATATGTTCAACCATCAAAGTCAACATATTGGTAGTTAGGATGATATTCGACACTCGAAAATGTTGGTTGGTCACTCGATCAAAATGTAATAATCCATCCATACACCTTCTCTTTATGTAGAAATGTATTGTTACTAACGATCAATCACTTATTCTTTTTTTCACTAAGTTATATACACACGACACTCATTTTTCATTTGGCTCGAATCGATGAGCAGGAGGAGCTCTTGTCGTCGCACGGTACTATGCAGACGATTAATCGAAGAATTTCTTTTTTTTTCGAGTAATAACAATCATACTATACACACGCATGAGATGAAAAACGGGAACTCTCTCATTCATATTTGATCACCATTAGTGTCAACTCACTCAATACGCGGGATGTCAATAAGCAAGAAAAAAAGAAAGAGAAGGACGGAACACGAACATACTATAATTTCTATCCAATTGAAAAAAATATTCCATACCTGCATAATGTATATTTATTAATCCATCTGTCAAAAAAAGATAACCATCTCTGTTCAAATGACTATGTTATACTGAAGTATACAAAAGACAGTCTTTCTTCTCTTATACGTGTGTGTATAGAGACATTTCTTTTTTTTCCTAGTTCATTCTAATTTCTATTGGTTATATTGGTAAATCCGCTGATAATTGTCTCGTGTTTTACTATCGACAAGACAAGCTTTTAAAAGATTTTTCTTCGTATATGTCCACCCCTTCTTCATCAAACATGCAAACGGATTTTTCTTCTTCGTTTTTTTTAATGATAAAACTTCTTCTTTGCTTTTTCTTTTTAATATACTTACTTTATTTGCATTCCAAATTGTATGTGTATCACCACTCTCTTGATCTTTAGTCACTTCGTCTTGTTGTTGATCATGAGGATAAATACTAAAAAAAATATTCTTGTATCATCTTATTGATCTATGTCGTATAATTAAAACCAAATGAAAAACATTCTCTAAGAAAGTATATCGAAGAACATGGGAACACAACAACAAAAAAAGAAAAGAAAAGGAGCGTAAACGGGATAAGAAATACGATCGAAAATTTTTTTCTTCTTCTCACTATCCCCTTTCGTCCAATGACATGATTTTCAATCGAATGTAAACGACGTTTTCTTTGTTTTTTGTCTATTATATTTTCAAACGTAAAACAGATGTTGCTACTGGTTTTCTTTTCGCATTTATGAAGAAGCACAAGAAGAAGAAAAAAGACGAACTTTGATGTGTCAAAAATGTCTCTCATTCCATATGTTTTTATAAAACAAAACAAAACAAAAAGTAAAAAGAAGATGTTCAAACACGCTATGAACTAGACCAGTAAATTATCGAACACGACAGTAACGATCTACGCATCATAGACTATATACTCTTATCATATCTTTCAATGAACTTCAGATTATTAAAAGAAAAAAAAAAGGCATAAATCTTTTTAACGTATAGGTAGTCATGTTTATCGAACTAGTTCTCATCCACATACTCATATACCCACATATATACCCACATAGCTCATTAGTATTGAACTCTTCGGGACGGGTTTTTCAAAGCAAAGATATCAACATGTCAGCATATGTGCTCACATAAGTGAACGACAGATAATGATAAAGTGTGTTTGGTGTCTTTCTCGCGCGCACGCGCTCTCTCTCTCTCTCAATGTGTTTGTCGATCAATTTGTTTGAATCGGGTGCGCATATAAACTAAAAAGAGAGAAAAAATTCGACGACACCTGTTCTTCTCACCATCGTCATCATCATCAATATGTATGTCTATATCGATGATAATTGATTATAGAAGTGAAGTCATCAAACGAATAGAACATACGTTTTATCATTAGGCATTCAATGCATGTATGTTTCATCAATTATCGTTGGTTTAATTTTAATTTTTACCTGTTACATGAATCGTCGTCAAGATCGTCGTCGTTTTCGTCAGAACCGATTTCTTCGTTGTTGTTGTCTTCCTCTTCTTCTTCTTCTTCTTCTTCTTCTTCTTCTTCTTGTTGTTGGTGATGATCAATGGGTGAACTTGTTCTTCGGTTTGACTTTGTATTATAGTTACGAAATGAATTTGCCGAAAATAAATGATGGCTGAATGGTGTTGTTTTAGTATTTGTATTTGAATTGAAATCTACTAGTACAATAAAAACAAAGATGAGTACGAATTGATAAGAGAAAGAAAAAAGAAAAAGAAAGAGAGAAGAGACGATAGGTGTCTTATCAAGAAGTCAAGCATTCAGTGAATATTGATAGCATGACCTGGATGTCAAGTGTATGTGTATATTGTGTATGTGTGCGAGGGTGAGAGAGACAGAAAAAAGAAAATTTTTTTTTCATCGAAAATATGATACCTGTTCGAATTGTTTCAACGACAATACGAGTGTTCATTGCGCATACAGCTCACATTCGACGATTTTGTCGATAAGAATTTCTTTTAATGTCTAGAATAAGAGAAGAAAAAAGGAAGAGAATTATGTTTTTTTTTTCTTGTTCATAACCAATCAAAGAACGACGATGTCACAAAAGTGTCTCTCCAGCTCATCCTTCCGTCGAATACGATTCGTTAAAATCATCGACATTTTACTCGTTCTTTTTCTTCCTTTTTTCTCCTTCTTCTTTGCTTTACTTTAGTATGTGCTTATATGGAAGTCTTTTTTTCTTCGGTTGCTAAGAATAAAAATAATATATATATATATATATATGAAAAAAAGGAAAATGATGATGAAGGATGGGCGTATATGCGTTTTTTGTCAAAATAGAGAACGAGTGAGACGAGAAAAAAACCGAGCAAAAAACTTGGTTTTTCCGTTTCCGCTTTCCTGATGGACATACACACCTGCTAGGGAGGGAAGCAAAAGAGCGAAGGCTCACTTTGATGTATGTGTAGTGAACAAACACTAACAATAACGATGTCACCGTCACCAGCACCATCATCATCATCATCATTATTATTTCTTTTTTCTTATCCTTTACCGCTCTGTCTCTCTTATTCTCAGCCTTTTTGCTTTTGCTACAATACGACATCACCGCCAGCTGGTACTTTAGCTCAGCGGCTAGTCGAGCTCTATGATAAATCTTCTATTTCCCATTTGGGAGCTTCCTTCCCTATAAGCATATATACGCAAAGGGATGAGAACATAACGATAGAGACAAAGAAAGACACTTAATATATTTTGACACCATTGTCTACCTCACCGTGCGTTCACGTTCATAGAATGAAAATGAGAATAGAGAGATCACTACCACCACCATCATCACCTCCATCATCATACTATATGATGATCGATAGCAGTCGACAATGACGACAATGAACGATGAATAATAATAAAAAAAAAAGAAGAAAAAGAAGAAAAAAACCTATTTAGATGAGCGTGTGCGCTTGAGTAACAACGTATAGATTGTTATTGCCGGTATGGATCCCCAAAGAGCTCATCATCTCGATTACGGAAACGATGAAAATGATTAAAATTCATCGACCGTAGATATCATAGATCATCCGTCATAGAATAGAGACAAAAAAAAGGAGCGAAAAAAGTCTCTAGGTAGCTAATTTGACAAGAGACTCTTGAGGAAGTTGAACAAAATCGGAAATAAGAGTTTTGTTATCTAGATTCTGCATACGCACACGTTATAAAGCAAACTTTAAGTGGCGAAGAGAAGACAGTCGACTAGTCGTTGTCGTCGTCTTTTTTTCACGCGTCATGATATGAGCCTCTTATATTTTTATTTCTTATTCTCTACCTCTGTCTTTCTCCATCTCTCTCTCTCTCTCACTCTCTTTCTTTCAATGATTGATTTGATTCAAACGAAGAGGTGGTGAGTGGTTGCAACCGTACAACTGTTCTTTCTTATATATATATATATATATATATATGTCGTCGACCACTGCTACCCTTAGTGTCAATAACTAATGATTATGTCAATAGACAGAGTTGAGTTGTTATTGAAAAAAATACATCAATGAAAGATTCATTTGTATTCAATGAAGTATATTGCATCTTGTTGATGAGTAAAAGACTTAAAACGAAAAAGAAACCTCTATTGGTAAAATGAATAAGAGAACGCGAGGAAAAAAAATCGGCGCTTTTAAAAAAATAACAATAACATAGAAAGAGACACTACCTTATCAAAATATCACTATGTCACAAAATCGTTTGTAACAATGAAGACTAAGTGAGAGAAATCGAATAAAAAAAAATCGATCCAATTGATTTCCTGTGTCACTCTAAAAAGGAAATGGACACCGTCAAAAAGCTTGAGGCACCGTTTTGTACGTTTATGCTAGAGGAAACATTGGGTTTTTTTCTTCTTCGTCTTGTTGTTTTTGTTGACATGTGATTAGACAAAGAATTTTTACCTTTACATCAAATTAGCATATGCATATCACTTTGTTGTCTTTTCACATCATGACCCTTTTCTTTCGCTTACCTGAATATATGTATATGTATATTTTATCGCTACTATTGCACTTGAAGAATAAAAACTGTAGTATGTTATTGCTGTTTTTACAAGCTTCTTTTTATGCCTGTATGTATGTCTGTATGTGATTAAGAGACCGGGACTGGTGATGGTGTTCGGGGAAAAAAAGAAGAAAAACCTATTTTTTTTCTCTTCTTTCTCGTTTCTTTTCGATCGTATTTGATTGATGCGATATTTGACGACGACGTGCTATCTCTCTCTCTCTCTCTCTCTCTCTTCTTTTTCTTGTCGATAGGATTCTATTTGCTCGCTAGATGCATACTCGACGAATTGTGATTCGACAAAGAGAGAGAGAGAGCGAGAGAACGAGACAAGATAATTACGTACGTTATTGGAACAAGTGAAGCTGCTAGACTACATCAGAACAAAACGACGGTCGGGAGAGTAGAAGAAGAAGGAGAAGAAGAAGAAGGAGAAGGAGAAGGAGAAGGAGGAGGAGGAGGGGCGAGTGGGGAAATCATTTTTTGCTTCTACTGCTACCATCACACAAAATATAACACTCGCTGAATCGAGTGAATAGTAAAAACCAAACGCACTAGAGAGACACAAAGAGAGGTAGCAAGAGAGAGAGAGAGAGAGACTGATGGAGAAAATGAAGCAGCACGACGAGAATGAGGAGGCAGCTACCGTTTGCTAAGATCTTAGTGATCTTTTCGCTGCCTCTCCTTCTTCTATCGATCGGTAGCCGAAACCATCTTCCGAAGAACGGGAAGAGATGGAGCGAGAGGGAGAGAGAGCAACAAAATGAACTGATAACCGAGCAAGTAAAGTAAAAAAATCGTTGAGAAGTGAAGATGTCATTCGATCTTAATGATTTTACTCTCTTTCTGAGAGCTTGAACACACGGTGATGACGACGGACGCGCGCATACGAGAGAGAGTACCTTATCAATAATAGAAAATAAATAGTAAAGAGAAATAGAGCAGACCAGACAAAATTTAGTTGACCGAAGACGATGAATATATAAAAAAAAAGAAAAAGAAAACGTTCCCATATTCCATCTATCCATCCAATCTATCATGTCACATCTTCAATATATATATAAATATTTGAAAAGCACGTTTTCTTCATTTTCAAGATGATGAGTGGAAATAAAAGGGAAGAATAAAAGAAATTGTCAAAATCGAATTAGAATCACGCGATAAACAGGAAATATTTAATATAGCTACCAAAACGAACGAAGAACTTCTGAAATGGTCTTTTTTCTTTTATTATTTTCTCAATGAAGCAGTGAATAACAAGCAAAGATACACAGGAGACAATTTGTTCTGTGTTTTGGTTTTGTTTTAACATCGAAGATTAATCGAAACATGCAAAGTATGTGCATCAGGGAAATCGTTTCGATCTCAGTTAACAACTTTTTCTTTTCTGTGCGGCACCGCACACACACACATATATATATATATATATATATAAACTAATGAGCGCATATACTTAAGCTAATATTGAATGTTAGAAAAAAAAATTGTAGTTGTAGTTGTAAATCGTGCTCGTCACCGTCTGTGTAAATTTGTTCATTTTCACAGTCAACTCAATGGTGACACCTGAAGTTTGCTTGATGATGTTTGTCTCGAAAACGATAGATATCATGTTTTTCTTTCTCGTTTTCTTTTTTGACAAAAAGAAAGACATTTGGTCGCAATTAGTTGAGAACGATTGTATGTTTGCTTCACTGCGCTTTCTCATCTTTTTGTTCTGCTTCTTGACTTTCTTTTTCACCTGCCCGTCTTTGCTTTTTTTTCTCTTTCTTCTACGATGGATAATAATGATGCACACACACACATACACAGGAAAACTCTTCTTTTTTTTTGCCGGCATAAAAGTGTCATTGATTGTTCATCATCAATGTGCATGTGTGTTTACTGCTCAAGCAGTAACAGTGAATTATTTAGTATATGTCCATATAGTAAGCGTGCGCGCGCGCGCGCAAGCGAAAGAGCGCACTTCTTCGTAGTCAATTGAGTGTTCACGTTTGAAGATGGTCGTGTGAGTTTGTGTGTGGGAGAGAGGAAACGATTAGAGACAATTGACGAATCAACGCTGTATTGATGCTTATCGCTCGTTCGTCTAGGTTCTTTTAGTCTCAAATCATGTCTAGTTGGTTGATCATATCTCGAACATAAAATGAGACTCTAACATCTACCTATCATAATCGTTTGTTGCTTCTAATTTCAAATGTCTTCGTGTGTATAAATGTACATACGCGCCGTGCTACACAACACATTAAATGACGCAATTCATTCGTACATTGCCGCCATCAGTGATTATCACTGATACTAAATACGTTCTCATATTCAGATTTGTTTTGAAGTCATCATGATGCCGTGTCGTTTGAACACGAGAGAGAGAAGTAAAAAAAGAAAAAAAGGCGTGAATCTATCAAACAAGTTGACACCTAATTACTTGACAAAAAAAAGAGAGCAAATCTCCGTAAGAAGCAGATTGTTCACACACAAACGAATTCAAGATTGGATAGACGAAAAGAAGTTCATGATGAAATAATTTGATTTCTTTCCTTTTTTGTTTTTGATGGATTAATCGAAGTGTTATACTACTTAGAAACAGCATCATATCTTAATACACTTCATATTATTGTTTTCGAAAAAATTCTTTTTCATATTTTGATAACAAGTTTGATGAAATGTGATTATTGAAATGATACATAAATAATTGTTCGTTTTAAATAAAACAAAAGATTTAAAAATTTCTCTTTGAATTCATTCAAGTGTTGAGAAAAATATTTTAATAGAAAAATAAAAATGAAAACAATCACATATTTTTGTATGAAATAGTTTCTAAATAAGATATATATATATATTTATTTATTTATTAAGTTTTCTATACAACAGATATCGTTATAGAAGAAAAGAGAAGAATTTAAGGTCAAGTATTATATGAAGAGTTGATAG